CGGGGGGCTCCGAAGGCCCCTTTATACCCGGCGGCGTTTTGTCCCCGGGCCACCAGGAGGTGCTCATCGCTTCGTGCCAACCGCTGCCAACCGTCCTCGTGCGACCTGGGAGTCACAGAGAGCCCGGAGCCCCGCCGAGGCCGCGCAGGCTCGGACGCGCGGAGGAGGAGGGGACTCGGGCCGGGGTAGGCGGAGCATGATGGAACACGGGGTGGGGCAAGCGAAGCCTGATTGGGCGCCTGGAGGGGGCGGGCCAAGCATAATAGCCACGTGGGGCGGTAGGCGGCGTATGATTGGACACGTGGCGGGCACGCAGAGCCTGATGGGGCACGCGGCGAGGGCAGGCGGAGCATGATGGCGCCCAGCGGTGCCTGTAAAGAGAACGCTCAGGACCTGGTGGGACGCGTGACAGGGCCCTCGGAACTTGAGGGAGCACGTGGCACAGGTGCGTGGCTGGGCGCCCGGGCACGATCAGGGCGCAGGATAGAGCACGTGGCTGGGGCAGGCTGACCAGGACACCAGCGCTACCTGCCATCCGGAGGGTCAAGGCTCCTGGCAGCGGGGTACGTCCATCTTCCACTTCCCCTCCTCCTGCTGTGTTCGGAGAAATTCAGGCCCGGAGAAGACTTTCACTAAAGTCCAGCTGCCCGGGTCCCGAAGGAGAAGGATGCGATGTGTCTCACCTCCTCGTTGCCAAACGCACCCAGCCCGCTTCCTCGTGGGGCGAAGGAAGAGTGACCCTTGATCTGACCCCCTGGCTCCCTGGGTCCCTCCCCTCTTGCCTGTCAAGGACTTGACTCCTTTGGGTATTCCCTCTCTCCTGCGCCAACCCTGCCCTGCTTACTGGGTCCTCCCGCTTCTGCGTGCCCTTTATCCTGCGGCCGCTTCCTGCCGCAGGTGGCTCCGCGGCTGCTCTTCACAGAAGAACTTCTCCAAAGCCTGGCTGCAAAGGCCTCTCTCATCACGATCTCCACCTCCTCGCCCTGTGATTCTTTCCAACCCCCTTCAAATACCACTTTCCCCCGAACCCTGCCCCCGAGAGTGCTCTCGTTGCCACATCCATCACGCATCTCCTTGTCCTCAAGTTACCAGGCGCTTGTCAGCGGTTTACAAAGCTGATCTCAGACCTTTAAATGCTTTTTTTCCTCTTGGCTTCTGTATTCGTTTTCTAGCACTGTCGTAAGGAATTTACAAAAAACCTAGCCACTCCAGGCAACACCTACCTCTTAGCTCCGGTTGTGAAGGAGGGACACTGTCCTGGTGTTCCCCGGCCTCACTGGCTGTCCCTTCTCTCATCTTCCTCCTCCCTACTTCTAAACATTAGCAACCTCAGGGTCCTTCTGTCTGCATTTCCAGTCCGCGAGAGATCCTAACCATTCCCACAGGTTTAATTATATAATGTATTTAAGTGATATGTACACCCAGCCAGCCTGGGGTCTCCCCTGAGCTCCAGAACTCCAGCCTCCTGGGTCCAATGGCCTTTTTCAGTGGTTCTCAAAGTGTAGTCGCCACACCTGCAGCATCAGTGTTGCCTGGGAACTTGTTCCAAGTGCACATCCTTGGGTCCATCCCTCTACTGAAACAGACAATCTGGGGGCAGGATCCAGCAATCTGTGGTTCAGCAAGCCCTCCATGTGATTCTGTTTGCTGAAGTCTGCAGGTGACTGGGCTACTTAGTCGCTCCACCTGGACATACGCAGTCATCTGACTCTGGAATCTGCCATTTACCCTTTTCCCCTTTGATCAATATCAGTCGGTGTCACGATCCATCCAGGCGCTTAAGCCATTATGATCCATTATCTTATGCAAAGTGATCTTTTAAAAATGTCAACCCCACAACGGTGCCTCATGTCTGTATTCCCTGCACGTTGGAAGGCCAAGGTGGGAGGACTGCTTGAGTCCGGGAATTCAAGACCAACCAGAGCAACATAGCAAGACCCTGTCTCTACAAAAAAAAACAACCTTAAAAATCAGCTGAGTGCTC